CTTGAATGGGATAAAATTCAGTGAAAGTTTCAGCTTACTATCTATAATAGAATAGTACATTAAAATACAAGTTTCATAAAACGTCATTTTATCGCACGAGCCCTATATTAGAAAACGAGCCGGAGGCGAGTTTTCTAAAGGGCGAGTGCGATAAAATGTCTTATGAAACGAATATTTTATACTATTTTTTCTATTTTGGTATTGTTTAATTGAAAAAAACAAACTTTTCTTGGAAATTTTATTCTCATTTTTCCTGATTTCATATGTTTAGGTTGGCAACACTACATGCCAAATATAAGGTTTGTTCCAACCGGCAGTAATTTCCAGTAATATTACTGGCACACATGCGCAATTGTGAAATGCTGTTCCAACCAGTTAAAATTACTAATTTAGAATTAGCGATAATTGACAGTTCGTCGTTCCAACCGGAGTTACGGATAGTAAAATTACGGTTCAAACGATTCTTGCTTGAAGGGAAGAACTGTTGGTTCTAAAATTAGACGCATGCGTAGTGAGGTCAAAAACGGGTCAGTGGTTGAACAACAACGAACATAAATAATAATACATAACCCAGAACCTCACTTTTTTATTTAAATTATTTATTTGAAAATTACTGCTATAGAAGTTAAGTAATTTTATTTTATTTATTCTCAGAGTTAATAAATATGATTTCTGTCTTATATTAGGTTTAGAAGAATTCCTTATTGTGGTGGAAGATGATTCACCTGCAAGTATGCAAGTTATGTTGATTTTGTTATTTTCATCTTGTGTTGTGAGTACTACTAGTTCAAAAAACGTTCCAACAAGTTTTTAAGTTATTCAGTATAATATTACTGTTTTTGATTGCGCAGTCGCATTAGCGCGGCTACGGACGATATTATTACAGTAACAGGTTGGAACAAACCTATAGAAATCTTCTATTATTTTTTATCGCGAATGACAGTTCGATGGCCATCAGTCAGCCAGTGTTACCAACCTCCGATAAGTAAAAAAGGAGTGTCACAAAGAGCTTCTTTTCGAAACTACTTTTAGTGTCGAAAAGACTTCGATAGGACACCAAAATAGAAAAAAAAAGTTATGACCTTTAAAAGTTTTCCAAAATCTAACTTATTACTTACTAAAACGATGAAATTTCAATTTTTTTGTTGTTTAGATTTTGTATCTTAATGGTCAATCAACATCCCCCAAACTCCATACACTTAATTATTCTCAGATTTGAAGTGGAAATCTATGAAAAAAGGCACACAGAAAAATTGAAAAATTGATAAATCACCCCAAATTGCTTAACACGATTTTATCTCAGAAACTCAGCAAATGAGCTGGGGTTTTTCCTGCAGCCCTGGTAAGATGCCGAGTGCGGTACTTCGCAGTTTGCACAGGTGGCAGCTTTTTCCTTGGGTTTGGTACAAGCGTTATGTGGTTAATGAAGTTTAGTTTGAAGATGTTTGTCTCGGCGATTGGTATCACTAGTATACAATCGCTACTGGGGCTCATGACGGACCTCGAGTGGAAGTTTTCGCTCTTTAGCTTTTCTTTGATGGACTCAGTCGTGCAGTCTTCTAAGGGTCAAAGCACAAGTGAGGACATTGACGTTAATGGAATGGTCAATAGCATACAAATGATGTCCTCTCCCAAACAAGACACAATACGGACAATACCCAGTAACTTTGCTTTGTGAGGTACGAATAGCGCAAATAATCTCTTGGAGATGTTCGTCCTAGGATCTATCATCTTCTTGACGCACATAGGTACGTCTTCTGTTCTGTGGGATTTTCACGAGGATTATAGTTCGCTGTATAGAATATATTGGTCCTATAACGTTAACACAAAGCCTGAAACTCTTTGGACTTCATCTGAACACCATTATCACAGGTCAAAAGTATAAGGATTCCAAAAAGGAAAAAAAATAATCCCTACATGTTCAACTAGAGACTTAGCCTTAGCGGCTCGACATGGATACAGGAAAACTGACTTGCTGAAATAGTCTGAAATGACAAGAATATAACAATGTCCCTTTTTAGAACGTAGTAAGGGTCCTATATAGTCGAAGCTTATCGACTGAAATGGTTCAGTGTTGACCGGTCTTTCTCCCATTAGTACCTGGTGCAACGGGCTAGCAACCCTCCGCATTGTGATAAAAAGCTTCTAGGACACGAAGTCAAGCTCAAGGTGGTGAGGGGTTACGGGCTGACCCCCCTTGAAACCGTCAGGAAGTTTGGCCCTTAGGAGAGGACGTCGGAGCAAGCAGCGCGTCTCTCCGAAATGGAACTGCAATGCCACTGGACGTAGACCAAAGCGATCTCCGAGCTTGGAAGCTCGAGAAGAGCGACCCGCTAGGAGAATCGAGGTAGGCAGGTTCGCAAAATGGAAAAGTGCGGACAACCGCCACTTGATATGCGCTTACCACAGGGCTACGGAAGTCAGCAAGAATCTAATTGACTACCGAATAAGACTTCATGATATATAGAAAGATACCAGATCGGATTTTGAGAGAACATCACAAAAGCTGTCCGATCAAGTGTGTGCCATACTGAGACGTAAAGCTTTATCAGAGGCTGAACTTGAAGCCTTGAAGCAGGGCAGGAAGTGTCAGCTGAATTACAAAATAACCGAGACGCTCCTCTGCTCAAAACTTTAGACGAAAACCCACACAAGCACACCAAAATGAACCACTAGCACATGTTAAAATGCAACCATGATGCTCAACGATGGCAGCGCAAATGACGAACGAAGATACTGAAAATGAACTCCAACTACTAATCGCAGAATATCGTGGCCTTCCAATGAATGTCCGACCAGCAATACCCCGAGTGCCATACAACAAATACACCAAAACGTCAGTGGAACAAGTCAACGCCATCTTGGGCGAAAGTGATTGAACCGGAAGACCAACTGGAGGACATCTGCCACAAAGTCTACTGCGGAGCATTGACAGTATCCCAGACCCTCGGCTTATTTCAAACAAAAAACAACAAGCACAAGAACCATACAGAACCAACAAACTTGCCCGGCTTGGGGAAAAGATAGCAAAACTAAGGCCAGATACATACTTACATCTATGGTGAACCTGGAGACAAACTCAAGAAAAGAGTCAGAAAAATTGCAAAGAGCCAGCGCATAAAACTCCACAGCCAAACGGGAACGGAAGAACCTACATTATACATGGACACACTCAAACAAAAAAAAAAGTTGCTGCACTGGGATACCGAATCAGACGATACACAGAAAGGACAAAAAGACTCTGTGAAAACAAAACTTTCCAGAAAAGTCCCCGCAAAATCTACAGACACCTGGAGCAGAATAGCATTTTAAAAGAGTGCCAATGATGGTGATTCCTTAGGAATTTTGTTTACCGCCGAGTGCCAGACGTCTTCGACTTGATTCTCCGTTAATATTTGATGGCAACAAGTCTAGGTTTTTTAAGAGCTCGCAGAATTGCTCGAACGATAAGATTTTTTTGGCTCTCTTGCCTTAAACAGCTTTGCCGTTATCGTCTGACATAATGTCCAAGACCTCTTCGATGTTAAGTCTCTGCTCTTAACAGATTTCTGATTTATATTCACCATAAATTTAAAAGGAGTTGCAAGGTGACAGACTCCGAGCACGTTTAATATTTGGTTTAGGTTCTCCAGGCTGCTTTCTTTCATCAATACTTCTTGTGTGTACGCCAATGGTTTTGTTATAGGTAACCTGGACTCGTTAAGCCTTTCCCAGCTGTCCATGAAATCATATGGAAATACCTCATTTCTTTTCAGTAGTGAAAATTGCTCTTCTGATAAATCCTCAAATTCTGATCTTGAAATGGGATAATCCTGTAGATATGATGCCAGTTTATCTAAACCCGAAGCCATAAACCGCATACTGTCAATAAAACGAGAGTTGATCAAGTTTCCAGGAGTGTGTTTGGTGAAGGAAATATACTTTTCCTTGTTCACAGGTAAAATATCAATGTTTCCTTCTGCTCAACATAAGAACTCATGTTATGGAATACCACTGGCTATCTTGAAAATTGTACACACAAAGCACATAAGGGGAAGAGCATAATGTCCCGATTCCAAAAATAAATAGTTTGTCTATATTTGATTGAACAGTGTCTCATATACAGGAATTAGTAATGTTACTTTACCAAACTAGTAACATAATGTGACAAGTTATTCAAGTACAAATGAGTGGATTGTTGTGGAACTTATGGGTGGACCTCTGCGGGATGAGCGCAGCGATTTCCGCAGTCATCTTATCGTTAAAGGTCTGGACACACATGACCGCACCGTATCCGCACCGAGCCCGCACCGAGTCCGTGCAGTAACACGGCAGTGTGTCGCTCAATAAGGTAAAAGCCACACATTTCCAACACACGGCCGCATGACGGTCGTACTACGAGTGCGGTCGGTAGTTTGTCACTTCGTCAGTTGGCTTCCTGCCTGTACGTGTGCGTGAGAGAAAGTAAAATGTTCGCCAGCTTCAGTAACAGAGAATTGGCAGCAATAGCTATTGCTTTGGACGATGAGGAGGAAAATGAAGAAAATAGGGCAAAACGACGGAAAATTTGGGTACACAACGCTTGGAAAGCAAGACACGTTGAAGGCGAATTCCGCACGTTGCTTCCCCACTTAATGGACGATGATACCAAATTTTACGAATATTTTAGAATGACACAATTTACCTTCCATCAGCTACTGAGTAAGCTGGAGGAGAGATTAAAGAAAAAAGATACATTTTGGAGAGTGGCAATAACACCGAAAGAAAGGTTGATGGTATGTTTAAGGTAAGTTATTTATTTATATAGGATTAGGTTAAGCACGGATATTAGCAGCGTGATAAATAATGAACATGTATTTATTTTGCATTTTGATAAAACAAAAAAAAATATTATGTAGGTAAACTGAAACATTACAACATACATTTCATTTTCATGAAACAAATAGAAATTAAAATGTGAACTCTAAACATATAGGCAACCCCGAACATACAAAATGCAAAATGCCTTTCACACAATATCATCATTCTAGATTCTGGGTCTGATCTGTATGGTGTCCAGAAAGTTGTGATGCATTATCTAAATTCCAGTATACCGGAGATGCATATGGTGTTGGAACAGAGTGCACAGACCCTGATGATGCTGGTGAGGGTGCAAATGCTGGTGATGATGCTGGTAAGGGTGCAAATTGGTTGCAAGGAAATGAACGAATTGTTTCTTGAGAGGCCAGCAGCTGTTTCATTTCACATTCCTGTACTATGGAAAAAATGCGGCCTTTAGCTTCGTTTAGAAGAATGGGACTAAGGAACTTCAGGGGAGCTACTATACCAGCCAGAAAAGCATCAACAGGATGTTTTTCTGCTTCGACACTTGCTACTTCTGATTGTTTTTGAGTTTTCTTCTCAGATAAAATGTACGTCATTAGTTGAGAGGAAGCTGTTTCTGGAGGTTTCGATTGACGCTGCTGCAGTTTTCGTTTTAATACAGGTTTGATAAATTTTGGATTCTTGGCTGACGAGTTTACAGAGAGCACCTCTTCCTGGGTTTTCTGACCAAGTATTTCAGGTTCCTCTTGTATATATTCTTGCACAGATTCAGGTTCGTCACCATCTATAACTTCTTCCTCCTCCAAGGTATCATCAGCAGAAACTTCATTATTAGCTACCTCCTCACTATCAGTAACGTTAGAAATTGTCTCTCGCTCTGCGACATGCGGTAACAAAAACTGCAAGACGTCTTCATATTTATATTTTCGGAGAGTTACAGCAGCTTGTCCAGAGACAGTCCTTCTTCTTTGAAGGGTCCTTCGAAACTGATCTCGAACGGAGGCCCACTTTTTCTTACATTCTTCGCCACCGCCTGTAACAAACATTATAAGTAGATTAATTATGAGTAAAATGAATCATTTTCGTATATTCATAATACTAAATATTTGAGACTATTTTTTGTTTCAGGTTTCTTTGCACTGGGGACTCTTTCAAAACAATTTCCTTTAGCTACAGATTAGGAAGATCGACTGTGGCAGCAATAATCCATGACACCTGTAGAACAATAGTGGATGTCCTTTTAAATGAATGTATGTCAATGCCGACAGAAGAGGAATGGAACATTATTGCTGATGAATTTTGGAAAAGATGGCAGTTTCCAAATTGTATCGGGGCCTTGGATGGAAAACACGTTACAATAGAGGCACCAAAAAACTCGGGGAGTCTCTACTGGAACTATAAAAAAACATATTCGATTGTCTTGTTGGCTTTGGTTGATCCATTCTATAACTTCATTGCCGTGGACGTAGGAGCATATGGAAAAAATTCTGATGGCGGTATTCTGATGCACTCAAATTTAGGAAAGTCATTGGAAAACCGTACACTCAAGATTCCAGAGATCAGAAGTTTACCTGGAACTAATACTCAACTACCAATGGTCATTGTAGCTGATGAAGCCTTTCCTTTAAAAACATATATGATGAGACCTTATCCTGGAAGGAACTTGACAGATGAGAAGAGGATATACAATTATCGTTTAAGTCGAGCAAGAAGAATATCCGAAAATTCATTTGGCATTTTAGAGCAAAAATTTCGAATATACAGTAGAAGGCTTCAAGGAAAACCTGAAAACCTAACAATGTATATTCTGTGCACCTGTGTTTTGTACAATTTTATTCGAAAAAATGAAAGCTACGAGCTACCCGAACAGGGAATCCGTCAAAATGAACAAAATGAAACATCCGACAGATCGTCAATTCTAAGGGATCTTCCTCGCCTTCGTGGAAGAGCAGCAAATGCCGCATTTACTGTCCGAGAACAGCTGACAACTTTTTTAAATTCTCCAGAAGGCAGTGTAGACTGGCAAGAGGAAATGGCCTTGGCAGTTTGAAAAATTAGTATTACATAATATTTATCAGATAAAATACGATAAAAATTGTACCCGGTTTTTATTTGTGAGGAAATGTAAACAAAATATTTTATATGGAGTCTTATTTTGGTGGAGATATATATCCTTTTGAAAATAAAACCTCACTTTCAGATTCACCCTGTATAGTAGGTATAATCAATTTCAACCTATTTTAACAGGATTCTTAATTGAAAATAAAACATATGTATTTTGACTTACCCTTTATTTCTAAATGCGTAGCAATTAAAGTCCATACCCTTTCCTTATATTCAGCATTCCTATATTTTTCATTTCTTTGGTCGTACAATACAGGATACTTTTTGACTTCTTCTATCAGTTTCTCCATTTCTGCAACGCACCGTGCCCGTCAAAAATTAAACAAAACTAATCTCGCACGGTACGGACGCGGTGCGGTGGTGTCACTCGGGCTCGGCGCGGGCACGGTGCGTAGATGTGAAGACTACGACATAAGAAAACACGGTACAACTATTCACCGAGACACGGCCGTGTCTCGGTGCGGGCTCGGTGCGGACTCGGTGCGGTCATGTGTGCCCAGACCTTAATACGTTGTTCAAGTACGATACTAACCTGACTCACTCAAATGTCAGTTATTCTCATTAGTTCAAAAACTACACGTTTCAAGTGCGTGTCTTATTTGAACAGTTCAACAGTATATTGGTGAGTAGATGGCTGTATTTGGTTGATAGTGGACTGTATAAATTGCTGAATAAATAAGATGGTAAACTTTTATTTTGATGGTTTATTGTACAAACTAGGAAATATTCGTTACAAACAAAAAGGTAATGTTTACTGTTGAACTCTACAGAACCGAATGACTATCCTTGTCGCGCGCGCTCAATCCTTGGTTGGCGCTGCCAATTGCGGACGACTTGGAACTAAGATATTGCCAAGGATAATGCGAAATTTAAATTAAAATAATTATTTTTTCTGATTTAGGCCTTTGGGTATGAACATTCCGCCGACCTTGAAATACACACATTTCAAAAATAATAACGCAAAACATAACTTCAAATTGCCTTAAATTAATGTTGTCAAATTACTAACAAATGCTTAAAGCTAATGATCTAAAATTAATAGCAAGGCTTCAAATTAGCCAGATTAATTATTCCGCACTGGTTAATTCACCGAAATCACTGTAAATTGGTAGTGGACACACTTTAGTCAGAGCACGTTTGGCAATTGTTCCATTACCGAATCGCACACTAACGACTCTTGTCACTCCATCTTCACCTGGGAACAGCTGATTCACCCGCGCAAGCTTCCATTGCAAAGGTGGTAAGTTATCGTCCTTGATAATGACAAGGTCTCCCGTCTGGATAATACTGGATCCCATCTTTTTCCATTTCTGTCGAGCTTGTAGTTCTGAAAGGTACTCCTTGTACCAGCGATTCCAGAAGTGCTGAGTCATCTGTTGAAGTCGTTGATACTTGGATAATCGGCTTTCCTTAATATCACTAACATCTGGATCTGGCAATGAGACTAACGGTCTCCCAATAATAAAATGGCCAGGAGTTAAAGGACATACATCATCTGAACTTGATGATAATGGACTGAGTGGTCGTGAATTCAGCACGGCTTCGATTTGCTGTAGTACAGTCGTAAAGTCTTCAAAGTCTAAATGAGTATTACCGACCACGCGTTTCAAATGTTGCTTGAAGCTCTTTACTCCGGCTTCCCAGAGTCCACCGAAATGTGGTGCTCGTGAAGGAATGAACTGCCATTTCACCCCCTCATTGGCCAAATTACATTTTACAAAATCAGAATTGCTTTTCAAAAAAGTCTTAAGTTCAGAATTAGCCCCAGTGAAATTGGTGCCATTGTCTGAAAAAATGCTTAAAGGTTTTCCCCGTCTTGCTATAAAACGCCTTAATGTAGCCAAAAATGCCTCACTACTCAAAGTTGTGACTGGCTCTAGATGCACAGCCTTTGTCGCCATACAAACAAAGATACAGACATAGGCCTTAATCAATTTATGGCCGCGTGTTTTCCTATCCTTGAGTAAAAAATAACCAGCGTAATCGCACCCAGTATTAAGAAATGGACTACATTGATTTAGTCTTTGAGACGGTAAATTTCCCATTAGATAATTGCACGGTTTTGGCTTGACCTTAAAACAAGTAACGCATCTATGTACTGTCCTTCGGGCTAAATTTCTGCCTGATAAGGGCCAAAAATGTTCGCGCACTGAATATAAAAGTTGTTGTGGGCCGCAATGCATCAATCGCCAATGTTCCCTGATAAATATTAAAGTAGTCAACTTATGATTATTGTGTAAAATAATTGGATGTTTATTTGAGAATGGTATATTTGCCTTCTGAATTCTTCCTCCTACACGCATTACGCCATCGTGCATGAAAGGATTAAGTGATAACAATTTACTGGAGTTACTAACTGATCCCTTATTTTTTAAATCATTGACTTCAGCTTGAAAGGATTGTGCTTGAGAAAGTTTTACTAAATTAATTAATGCATCATCGATTTCCTTTGACTCTAATTCGCTCAGCAAACGCTCAGATTTTTTGCATCTTACATTTGATGCAAATCGTCGGAGTAAAGCCACAATACGCAATAATTTTGTCAAGGTTGAATAATTATCGAATAATTTTAAATCATTTTTTGGTAAAACTACTAAATTAACTTGAAGTTTTTGTTCCGGAATTTCCTCCTCACTGATTACTTCATTTTTTGGCCAACAAAAACTAGAAGATTTTAACCACTGAGGCCCTTCAAACCAAAAAGAATTATTGATAAGAGATTCTGCAGGAATACCGCGAGATATTAAATCCGCAGGATTATCCTGTGACCTAACATGAAACCAATCTTTTACATTAGTCTTATTTTGAATATAACCTACTCTGTTTGATACAAAATTTTTCCATCGCTCGGGAGAACCCTTAATCCAACACAAGGTGATTGTTGAATCGCTCCAATAAAAGCATTTGTCAAAATTTATATTTAAAGATGTTTTAACCCTTTCTGCTAATTTACAACCTAGGGCAGCAGCAGTCAACTCCAACCTAGGTAGAGTAACTGGCCGCACAGGAGCTACCTTGCTTTTTGCTGTAATTAATCTACATGAAAATTCATAATCGTTTATTTGGCAACGAATATAAGAGCAATCTCCATATGAAGCTTCTGAAGAGTCTGAAAAGGTATGTAACTCAATATAGGTAGGATTTTTAATAAAAACATGTCGAGGAATCTTTATTTTATTGATGTGTATTAAATCCCTACAAAAGGAAATCCATTTATCGCGAATATCACCTAAAAGTTCTTCGTCCCAAGAAAACTTACCCTTCCAAAGCCCTTGCAAAATAACCTTGGCTCTTATTATTACTGGTCCTAACAATCCTAAAATATCAAAAATTTGTCCAATAATTGAAAGTATTGTTCGTTTAGTTATATTTGAAAAGTCTGAAAAATTTTGAATTTTATATTCAATAGTATCGAAATGTGCATTCCAATATACTCCCAACGTTTTATTATTTTCATTTACTCCCAATTGTAAAATACTTGCATCTAAAGAACTGTTTATGTCAAACTGCTTGAATAATTCTGGTTTATTTGAAAGATATTTGCGCAACTGAAAACCTGCACCTGAAAGGATTTTGCTAACATCCCTTTGGAGCTGCAACAATTCTGTTTCAGAATCTGAACCTACAAGTAAATCGTCTATATAAAAACAATTCTTGATAACCTCACTAGCTAAAGGATATTTTATTTTATTATCAATTGAAAGTTGCAAAAGACAACGTGTTGCTAAAAATGGAGATGAGGCCAATCCGTATGTTACTACGTTGAGTTCGTAACATTTTAGATTTTCCGATGGGTCGCCTCTCCAAAATATACGCTGATAATGCCTGTCTTGCTTGTCAATGACTACCTGCCTGTACATTTTTGAAATGTCGGCATTTAAAACAAAAGTGTGTTTTCTAAAATTCAAAAGAATAGTGTATAAATCATTTTGTACTGTAACGCCTGTATGCTGCACGTCGTTCAATGACAAACCGCTGTCTGTGCGAGCAGATCCATTAAAAACCACGCGCAACTGCGTTGTGAGACTCGTTGTTTTTATTACTGCATGGTGACTTAAATAATATGCCTCAGCATCACCATCCGAGAGCTCTTCGATTTTTCCAGTCACAAGACTCATATGCCCTAATGACTCATACTCAGCCATAAAATCTCTATATTGCTGTCTAACTACCTCATTTTTCAATAGTCGTCGCTCCAAATAATTAAAACATTTCAAAGCGTTGTGTTTTGAATTTCCTAACTGCATTTTATTTTCTTTAAAGGGAATTTTAACTATGAACCGTCCATCTGCGTCGCGTTTATAATTTTCCTTAAAATGTAATTCAGAACTATCATCAATCTTGGCAACACTGCCAAATTCCTCAATTTCCCAAAATCGTGTTAAATTTTTATTAATTTCGTCCTCAATAGATAAACAAGAAAAAACCTTATTGTTTGTGAGTAAAGAATTATTAATTTCACCCGCCAAAATCCAGCCCAACTTGGTAGACTGTAAAATTAAATGCTTATTCAATTTTATTTGATTCATTAGAAGAATTTCGTAAAATAAACTAACTCCGCATAAAATGTCTATGTCTTTTTTGATATTAAATTCTGGGTCTGCAAGTGTCACGCCTTGAGGAATATTTAAAAAACTTGAATCGAAACTGCACATGGGCATAGGTTGTGTTATTTTGTTTAAAATCAAACAGCTGATTTCTTTCGAAAATTTTCCATTGCAAGCTTGTATTTTTACCTCAGTTTTAAAATGTGTCATAATTGAATTATTATTACCCACACCAGTTATTGAAATATTTGTCTTTGTTTTGGGTAAACCTGCCTTATTGCAAAAACTCTCTGTTATAAAATTCGACTGTGAACCTGGATCTAATAAAATTCGAGCCCTCAAATTATTAAAATTTTCTTTATTTTGAATAAAAACATCAGCAGTCGATAAAAGTGCATATTTATTATTATTAGTTTGTCCTAGCAAGGATTGTGAGGAGACAAGGTTTGTTTCTTCCTCTGCTACATGGTTTGTCTGATGTACCGCGCTTTCTCGCTCTTGTGGAGGTCTCGGTACCCCTTCAATTTCCCTTTTGCCACCATTGTTGTCTCTGTCGGCCTGTGGTGCCAGTCCGTCTGGCCTACTATGTTGACTACCAGCTGTGTTTGGAGTGCCATCAATATGTAAAAATGAATTTATGAATCTTGAACATCTTCTACAAGGAGCCTTTGGACACTCCTGTACTGAATGACTTGGATTGAGGCAGTTCAAACACAGTTGTAGTCTCTTAATCTCTTTATTTC